ACTTTGAAGTAGGAATAAGATCCTCCGGAAAAGGGCGCTTTTTCCGGAAAAGGGCGCTTTTTCTGGAGGATCGGGGCCAGTGTAGACGCTCTTTTCCGGCTTTTCTAAAAGCCAGAAAAAAACAGCAGACATTTTTATTTAAATCCCCCGCGGATTTCCCTATTATGACCTCTGAAATTAACATGCCCCTTCCGGAAAAGGGGCCAATGTAGACGAGCCCCTTGTGTGCAGGCCTGGTTGAGATGCATGTTGAATTGTTCCCCGGTGAGGTCCAGGTGGCCAGTGTAGGGCTTCATGAGCCATGGCATTAGTGGGTAGGCCATAGCCCTGACAATGCACAGTGCCATCTGTACGTCCCCAACATGAAAGTCCCACTGGGGGAAGAATGTGCCAGACTCCAGCTTGTGATAGAGGCTAGAGTTCCTGAATATGCGGACATCGTGTGCCCGGCACAACCACCCAACAAAAATGTCCAGAAACTGTCCACGGTGGATGATCAGGGCCTGCAGCACCATGGATAAATAGCTCTTCCTGTTTTTGTACCGGGTGGCTCTATGCTGTGGTGCGTGGATTGGAATATAGGTCCCCTGCCTGTAGAAGGAGACAAAGAAACACAGAAAACAGAGAATAAGAGGGAGTGCCTGAGCCCTTGGGAGGTGCCCTTTCACCTCCTTCTTCCCTCAAACACCGTAGAAGCCATCCCCTATGAGGCTACCCACCCAGCAGCAGGGCTGTGTGAGGGCAGAATGGCACAACCGCCCCTCCCTGGGGACAGATCTTCCCTCCACCCCCACTAAACCCCTATACTTCCCACACCCCTTTCCCTAGGGTCACCCTTTTCCAGGACTCCTCCCTCCGAAGGGACTGTAGCCCGAGTGCCTTACCTTCCTGAGAAGGACCCCAACGGTGGACTTCCATATGCCGAACTGGTGGCCCACTGACTGGTAGGTCTTGGGGATAGTGAGCTTCCAGACGGCAAGAGTGACCCGCTTCTCCAGGGGGATGGTGGGCTGCAGGTTGCTGTTACATCTCCGGAGGGCAGTGGTGAGCCAGGCACACAGCTCCAAGAAGGTGCGGAAGTTGTTGAGCCACTGCTGGTCGTCCCACCACTCTATCACCAGCTGGTCCCACCAGTCAAAACTGGTGTCCAGCCTCCAGAATCATCTCTTGGCCAAGGAGTGTGGGCTCAAGGGCATTGCTCCTGCACCCAGGCAGAGGGACTCACAGATGAGCTCTGAGTCAAGCTGGGACAGGATCATCAAGATGGTCCGCTCAAACTGCTGCAGAACCTTCAGCATGGTTTTGTGGGGCCATCACATGCAATGGGGCAGCTCCGGCTCCATATCATAAATAAATAAATAAATAAAAATGCTGTGGCATCCAGCAAAGCTGGGCAACAAGAGCACGCACTGCTAAAGCTTTGCTGTCCCTCGTAGAGGGAGGCAAGCATTCAGCAGAACCTGAGAAATGGCTGTCCAGGGGGATCCCTTTAAGTATGCGTCTCAGATAGCTTTTCTGGAAGTAACTGCTAATCTAATGCCCTGGTTGAAGTGGTTCCATGTGGCCTTTTATGCGAGAGAGCATCCAATCAGCGTAGATGTTCTTTTTCGAAAAAGGAGGTCGCTTTTTCGATGCGCTTGTGCTGTGTGGACGTCTCTTCCGAAAGAAGTTTTTTCGAAGATCTCTTCCAAAAAAGCTTCTTTCGAAAGAGGCTTACAGTCTAGATGTACTCTAGGTAGCCCAATGTAGACCAGTCAGAAGAAATAAGGTAGATAAAAAATACAGAGGACAAGAAGGAAGCCAATCAACTGAATGAAAACAGCTGCTAGGAGGAAGCAAGTCACCCTAAATAGTGAAAACAGGCAAGAAGTGGGAGAGTGGCTTGAAGATCAAAACACATGAAGGACTGTGAGGCTTCATAGGCCAAAATGGGATGGTGGAAAACTCCAAATTGTCTATGTAGTCATAACCTGTGGGCACAAGTCAGCAAATGTTTGCACAAAGACACAACAATAACTAAAGTTGCCTAAAGGAAACCTGCTTAGAACTTGGAGAGAAGTGCTTAGGTTTCAGGAGGAAGAGTTTGGAAGAGGCATAAGGAAGTCAGTCTGTGTGCACATGGCTTGAATTCTGAAGTATATCTATAAATAGTTCTTTTACGAATCAATTTAGTTTTACACATATGGGCTATGTCTAGACTGGCAAATTTTTCCGCAAAATCATCTGCTTTTGCGGAAAAACTTGCCAGCTGTCTACACTGGTCGCTTGAATTTCTGGGAAAGCACTGATGATCTTATGTAAGATTGTCAGTGCTTTTCCAGAAATACTATGCTGCTCCCGTTCGGGCAAAAGTCTTTTTCCGAAAGACTTTTGCGCAAAAGGGCCAGTGTAAACAGCACAGTACTGTTTTCCACAAAAAAGCCCCGATTGCGAAAATGGCGATCGGGGCTTTTTTTGTAGAAAACCGCGTCTAGATTGGCCACGGACGCTTTTCTGCAAAAAGTGCTTTTGCGGAAAAGCATCCTGCCAATCTAGACGTGTTTTCCGTTAAAAGCATTTTCGGAAAATCATGCCAGTGTAGACGTAGCCATGGAGTCCTTCATTTTGTTACCAGAATATATCAGCTAGATAAAACATGATAGAGAACAGTGTGATGGAGATGCATGGTGGCAGACCACTGTTACCATTCAAAACCCTGCTTGACTTTAAGTCTCTTTTAGCTCCAGGTGCTCAGCACTTTTAAAAAATCAATCTATTTATTTAAGAAAACAACATTAAATTTCAGGAACCTAGATTTGGGCTTCTGTTGTTACAAATCTTGGCTTACTACGACTCAGAAGAGACACTCAATTTCTACCTCCTATATGCTTCAGTCTGAAATCAATCAGTAATAATGTATTGGGTGAAGAGTGGTGCATTCTTACCTGTCCCGCTTGTCATTATTCATCAAGATACTCTTCTCCTCATCCCATAGGTCAGTTATTGAAATAGTTTATATTCTTGGGTCAGAAGATTAATTTTGTCAAAGAACTAGACTCTGGCTACGTCTAGACTGGCATGATTTTCCAGAAATGCTTTTAACGGAAAAGTTTTCCTTTAAAAGCATTTTCGGAACAGAGCGTCTAGATTGGCATGGACACTTTTTCGTAAAAGCACTGTTTGTGGAAAAGCGTCCATGCCAATCTAGACGTGCTTTTGCGCAAAAAAAGCCCCGATCGCCATTTTCGCGATCGGTGCTTTTTTGCGCAAAACACATCTGAGCTGTCTACACTGGACCTTTTGCACAACAGTTTTGTGCAAAAGGGACTTTTGCCCGAATGGGAGCAGCATAGTATTTCCACAAAAAGCACTGATTTCAGACAGTAGGAAGTCAGTGTTTTTGCGGAAATTCAAGCGGCCAGTGTAGACAGCTGGCAAGTTTTTGTGGAAAAGCGACTGCTTTTCTGGAAAAACTGGCCAGTCTAGACACAGCCTCTGTGTGCAAGTTCTCTGCAGGTATAAGTAGGTGAAACTCTATTCAATCCAACTTTCTTACATTGGGGTGAAACTGACTGTGAAGAAAGAGTTTAATTTAACTTGGGGACTTTCCTCACAGAAATTCCTGTTATGGTTATAATCTTCTCCTCTCTAACTCACTGTATCAGAATATGGAAAAGGAAAATAGGCCAGGAGAGACACAAATAGGGACATGTGAGATTTCTCTGCTCTCCTCTGAAAACCAATAAAGTAAATCAGATCTATTCCTTTAAGGCTATTTCCTCAATTTTTCTCTAATTTTCATTACTTTGGTTTCTTTTCCCATTTGCAGATTTAACAATAACTTTG